TAAAAAAATTCCAGTGGGCCTACTACTAGATCTATGTATCTGAAGAACATTTTGCTTGCCTTTATTAGCTTTTTTCATGTACATGAAAGCATAGAATATATAGCTTCACACATATATATGCACAATACTTTGAAAAAGAAAAATAAGGTCATTTTTGTTGGGGTTTTTTACGGAATCCGTTTTACGTTGAGAAAAGCGGTAAAAACAAGTTTAAAAATTTTAAGAATGCCCATAATATTAGTATTAGGAATCCGAAATTACTACCTAGTTGGCTTACTCTTAAATAACCATGAGCAGTTAAGAAAAAAAAAAGACAATGATATAGGATTTGTCTAAATATGACCATTAGCAATAAAGATGTTGCCCATTTTGTCCAATTATCCTTGCAGGTAAAATCACCCTGCACTTTACCTCAATAAGCACAAAAGGAATATTTCTGTGACTTTGTATAAAGGTGTGGCCTAAATAAGGTAAGGGAGGGGGGTTTAGCTTATTTAGGCCACAGGTGTGGCCTAAATAAGGTAAGGGAGGGGGGTATAGCTTATTTAGGCCACAGGTGAGGCCTAAATAAGGTAAGGGAGGGGGGTTTAGCTTATTTAGGCCATATGTGACCTAAATAAGGTCACCCCTTGTTTAAATATTCAGGTATGAAAACAGTCAGGAACACCACAAATTGAGAGGAGAACAGAAGGCTGTCTGTTGACGCGATCATTACTCTCAACGCTGTTGTTGTTGTTGTTGTTGTTGTTGTTGTTGTTGTTGTTGTTGTTTTTGTTGTTGTTGTTGTTGTTGTTGTTGTTGTTGTTGTTGTTGTTGTTGTTGTTGATCTAGTGAATAACGTTCTTTCGCCATTTGTTCCAAAACCGTATCGGAGCTGTTGGATACGTCTTGTCTTATGGAGTACTGAATGATGAAAGGGATAGTTTTATTTTTAGTATTAGTTATGCGGCACTTGCAACACGATACGGTCATATAAGTGCCAAAGTTGAAGCAGTTACAAGAGAGTAATAAACACAAAAAGAAGAAAAGAAGATAAAAACGATATGATTTATGTTTGACAGAAAGTAAAGAGCAAACAACACCGGAGCACCCACCAACCACCCACTAAAGCGATGGTGGTGCCGTGTTTTTTTTACGAGTAGTGTCATCCTTATTTCTTCCGATTCTCTTTCGAAACATTCACCTGCGCAGATGCGTGGGTCTTAATCAGAATTTGACGCAGCTAAGTCCTTAATGAGTGACTGAATCCCTAACTCGTGGGTAAAATACACCCTCACATAAAGATTGTGGAGTGATGGATAGAAATTGAGAGCAAGGGTCAAATATAGTGTCAGGGTCGGCAAGGGTCAAATATAGTGTCAGGGTCGACACGGGTCAAATATAGTGTCAGGGTCGACACGGGTCAAATATAGTGTCAGGGTCGACACGGGTCAAATATAGTGTCAGGGTCGACACGAGTCAAATATAGTGTCAGGGTCGACAAGGGTCAAATATAGTTTCAGGGTCGACACGGGTCAAATATAGTGTCAGGGTCGACAAGGGTCAAGATGCGAAAGAAGCAGGGTTAGTTCTGATGAGAAACAAGTACTTGCATGCAATATCAAGATCGTTTGCTAATACCCCTCATCGACAAACTTCCCAAAAGGGAGCACATAATGAAAAAACAGAATTAGATCGAGTAGACTATAGGGAATTGGCCTTGGACCATGTTTGGCGCTCTTGCCAAGTCAATACCATATTATGTGAAGCAGCGTGGTGGAATCAGGCTCTCGTCAATTTCTGGGCATATTGAGCTATTGGTATCATCTTAAAGCTTGTTCATTTGTCTTGCTTTCAATGAAAAAATTACCCATCCATCTTCAAGAAGTGGAGATATTTTGGATTGAAGGAGGTGAGGGTCACCTGATTTAAGAGGTAAAATTAGCGAGAAAATGGCGGCCAAAGCTTGGTAAATTCCAAAGCTGGAGAGTCCATAGAAACTGTAAATTTATATTTTTGTGCCTTGAATCAATGTTTTCGGTGAAATCCCCACAGGAATGTGTTTGTAAAGGGACATTAAAGGTGTTGAGTTAAAAAATAAAAATTTGACAAAAATTGCTAAGCAGGGAGAAAACTGCTATTTTCTTCGATTTCATTATTTTGACGAGAGCCTGATTTCACCACGCTGCCTCACATATTATTGTAGATGCCGCAAGACCGTATAATGTGGAGATCGTTGATCAGAAAGACAAACTCACGTAAAGTAACGAATGGTACGTTACGTTCCCAATTATTGGTATGCACGCCAGGTTTTTCCACTTAATAAAGAAAAACCCATTATTTGTAGGGATGTTTTCAGTGACTGTGTGAAGAACATTGGCCTATCCCGACGGAAGCCGGGTGGGGTGGGGTGGGGTGGGGAGGAGAAGGTGCAAGAGAGAGAGGGGGAGAGAGAGATGGAGACAGACAGACAGACAGACAGACGGAGAGTGAGAGACAAAGACAGAGACAGGGGGGTTAGAACAAAGAGAAAGAGAGCGAGAGAGAGTGACAGACAGTTAGAAGTAGAAAGAGAGAGAGAGAGAGAGAGAGAGAGAGAGAGAGAGAGAGAGAGAGAGAGA